CCTTAGCGTTGGCACACTAAGAGACCAAGTTATTTACCCACACCGTGAGATGGACATGAGAGAAAACAGGCGCACAGATGCCGAGCTTTTGCAGGTTCTTGAGGCCGTGCATTTGGGATACCTCCCTGAACGTGAAGGAGGCTGGGACTGCCGGAAAGAATGGAAGGACGTCCTTAGTGGCGGTGAGAAGCAGCGGATGGCCTTTGCGCGACTCTTGTACCACGAGCCGCGTTATGCTTTTATCGATGAAGGCACGTCCGCGGTATCATCAGACGTCGAGGGACTCCTCTATGAACGGTCCAAGGAACGAGGTATCACGTTGATCACGATCTCCACCCGCGCATCTCTGAAACGGTATCACACTTTCAATCTTACTCTTGGATTGGGCGTCGATGGAAATGGCTGGGAAATTGATCGTATCGGGACTGAGAAGGAGAAAATGGGCGTGGAGAAGGAGCTACAGGAGCTCAGAAAGCGGTTGAATAATGTGGAGGATTTAAAAAGACGGCGCGAGGAGATCGGGAACGAACTTCAAAAAGTCTGGCTTGATGATGGTAACCAGCTGGCTCCTCCATCGTACGAGGAGGCGATTGCGGTGGAGAGTCCAGATAACAACACAGTTGACTAATTTCTGACAGAGAGTAATTTTTTCTAGGAAGTGGTGGAGTATTCAATAGCATGAGCCGCGCACGATTACGATTGCAGGGTTGGGTTGAAGCATACATTTGAGGCGTCGAATATATTTATTGTTGCCATGTCCCTGATACCTACATTGTATGTAAATGGTGTTTATTTCAACAAACAATCCTATAATTCCCTTGCCTACTACTAAATACCCAGGGTTAACTCTTGTTTTGACTTGCATGCAGCTACTGGTATTCTGGCAAAGGACAACATTATTGAGGGAAGCAGAGTTCTAGGTCACCAATTGACCTATGCATTTATATCTGATCCCTTGCTAAATGTGAATTTTATACTCACAAGTTGTTCGATCTCTGTTTTGGTAATAAAGGCAATGCCAAACAGCCTCCCCAAGAACCAGGAATATGCTCTGTAATACAAGGCAAAAAAAGTGCCTGTATTATGAAGGATACACTAGTAGTCTCTGATTGCACTGGATTGGCACCCAGCTATCAGGTACTTAGCACAGGCAAGGATACTGAACGTGATTAATATCCTGCATGATATCTAAACAATCATTGAATTTTCGGGAAGAAGGTCTACAAGGAGATAGAGAATATCTAACTGTCCTGATGGAGATGCTCCAATCTCAAAAATGGGAAGATGATATTGTTCTTGGGATGGTGTTACTCTGAACACCATTCCTCTGATTTGAGGTCCTTTGATTGGCAGTTGCCTCTTTTCCCATCTGCAGCGCTTATCAGACTCTCTGATTATTTGTGGGCGAGTTCGCAGCAACAAGTTTGCAGAGAGGTATCACAGGTTACACGCAGTCGCCTATATTCGAAGTGACACTTCTGAGAGGCAAAAAAAAGGAGAGAAAATGTCTAAAACAAAAGTATGTTGAGTGGAGAATGAAAATGAAGTGGTGCTCTCTGTACTCTTCTCTGGAGTCTATGAAAGGAAATTTTCAGTGAATAAAGGGGCTCCTTTCTAGTCAAGAAATCATAGAGTAATAGACCATGATTGTGTGAGAGTCAGTATAATGTTGCCGTTTGTACTCCATACCCCGTCTCCTATCATCTCCGACTAACTGGCCGTTGCAACGAGGAAGTCTGTTCTGATGTTTGTGCTGTTTGCAGCCCACCAAGCCAGGCTGCTGGCGCTGTCCGCTGCAAAGATAACTACATAGTTAATTTGTCTGCCGTACCGAGAGAAAAAGCAATGATCAACAACCGGTCCAGAGCCCATTCCGCCTGCGTCGGCGCCTCCCGCACACAATTATCTTCACCCGCCACCTTCTTGCAAATCATTCCTTTCAAATCTCAGCGATCAATCCACCTGCTGAACCGTTCTCCTTCGAATATTACGCATGTAGAACTCTCAGTAGGTGTGGACACCCCACAAGTAGCAACCTTAGGGTCTGCTGACGGCTCAAAGTTGTAAATAACGAGTGTTTGGTTCACGGCCAGATGCCGTTGGCAGATTGCTGAACGGTGACGTAGTTAGCTGGCTTGCATGGCCGCGACCATTGCTAGTTGATTTCGCAACTCGGGGCCCTCGTTGGGTGTCCCAAAGGAGCAGTCATTCATCTAGGCGTGGCTTGAACATTATGCATGCGGCTACTTTCAGAGAGCTCCTACCATAGTTCTGTTATATCATACGATATGATGGGCGACTTCGGTACGGAGTAGTGCGAAGGAACGGGGCGCGACTGGTTTGTTCTCCATGTGGGTTAGTCCAGCATTCCACGTTCTTCAAGACCCCTCTCGCTCGAAAGCCTCGATCCTGGGGACTTTTGGTAAGTAATGTTCGGGAATAGTCTCATACATAGATGGGGTTATCCAATTCATATGTCAGTCAGATAAATCTAAGAGCCACTTGAGGTCGGAAGAGCTTGCATTACACCCGGCTTGGCAACAGGACGGCTCTGTTGCTGTCGCAGTTGCGAACCCTTTGTTTAGCCAAAATGTAGACGCGGTCAAGGAATAAATGAAGAGTTATGAGAGTGGCACAAAAAAAAGCAAAGTGTGCATCGCGGGAACGCAAACCCTGCTGCGAGCCGAGCGAATCCGAGTTTCTAAATGGGTTATGCCCTTGTTGATTTGATGTCAGGATCCCTGACACAAGTCTACATTTGCTTGATGTAGTTTAGTGGGCCTACGAGGATGTATCCATATTTAACATAAGCTCATGTCCTCTTCATAGAGCCTCTGGGATGAAAAGAATAGGATACCTCCGGTGGAATTGTCCTTACAAATTCTTCCCATGATGTTGGCCGTACTCGCAGACGCGGTCGGTAGCCCAGTCACTGTGTATTTCGCAATTGCTCTGGGATTGCCCTTCCTGGTAACATGGCTCGTGAGCAACTTCAACGCCCGGTGGCCTCGCAAAGGCGAGCCGCCAATGGTCCCACATTGGATTCCTTGGTTGGGCCATGCGTATTCCTTTTTGTTCGACATTAACGGCTTTGGAGCTCGAATCAAGTATGTTTTCGGTTTCCCTCTGCTAATATCGCACTGACATTCCCCAGGAAAAGATTTCCAAAAGAAGGTGCCGCGACGTCCGTGGTTGGCGGCAGACATTATTATACGATTTTGGATCCGAAATTGGCAAGCCAAATCTATCGCCGGCCAAAAGTTTTCCCAATGGAGGCATTCATAATAGCATCCCACGCGGCCTTTGGAACACCAGAAGCCGACCTGAATGTATTGAAAATGGGAATTCCTGGCTTCGAGCACGAGTCCGGTTACAAAGATGATGGCCGACGGGTCTGGCAGACGATGAGTAAAATGCTCCAGCAGCATTTGAGTATGGAGGGCTCAATCAATATGGCAACCACATTTTTACGAAAATTGACAGAAAATCTGGAGAAGGAATTCCCCAAGAACACGAGCTCCACAGATTGGATTAGCATAGATCTTCGCAGCTTCATTTTGAAACAATATGTGATGGCTTCCGTTGCGTCTCTTTATGGAAGCCATCTCGTGGATTCTTGGCCAACTATCTGTGAAGACTTTTGGGCGTATGACGAGTACACAAGGATCCATCTTGCACAAGTGCCAGAAATTCTTGCACCCAAAGCATACGGGTCTCGCCGGAAAATACTGAATATTCTTCTCCAGTGGGAAAAGGATGCCCGCCAACGCAAAGATCTGGAGAAGATGCTCGCGGAGGATGTTGAATGGGATGAATACTGGGGCGCACGACTCATACACCACAGAGTAAAGTTTGCCACGGAAAATGGCATGTCTTCAGTGGCACGTGCTTCCATGGCGCTAAGTTTGATATGGGGGTGAGTGTCATTCGAGAACCACTTGAATACTGTTCTCCGGCTAAGATGTTAATCAGTCAAAATGCAAACGCCATCCCTATTGGCTTATGGACGATGATCCATTCCCTTGTTAACCCCGGTGTTCAGCAGCGGGTTTCCGAAGCGATCGAATCATGTCGTAAACCAGATGGGGGGTTCGATATGCACCAAGTGGTAACGCACAAATATTTGAAGTCGGTGTTTCTCGAGTCTCTCCGGTATGGTGTGGCAGCGCCAATGGTCCGCGTAGTCCTTGAGACCACCCAAGTGGGTCAGTACACCTTCCATAAAGGCAATGTTATCCATATCGCTTCGAGGATATTGCACATGGATGATGATGTATGGTCACGCGGAGCCGCAGTAGGCGCGTCGGGATTTTGGGGCGAAAGATTTCTGGACGTGGAACGTGACGCAAATGGGAACATCGAAGAAAAGACAAACGCTGAAGCTGCGGTTTCCAAAGCAGCTGCAGATCCCATATCGTTGCCAGTTGGGACACGGTCAAAAGAGATCAAGGATCGCATGCTAGCATTCCGCGCGTTTGGCGGAGGAAACCATCTTTGCCCTGGGCGATTCTTCGCTCTGTACGAGATCGTTGCTGGGATGTCTACGCTGCTGACCATGTTTGACATCGAAGTTGACCAAGAGGCCTTGCGCACGAATGGCATGCCTGTTGTAGATCAGCGAGGAATCGGTGGATTATTGCCAGACAGGAAGTTCATGGTCAGAATGAGGAGAAAATGAGGGAACTGAATCCAACATCTTGAGTTCTCGTTTCAACAATTCAGGTGGAAGTGATATTAGTTTCTAAGTTTTGTCCCTCCACACATATTTCCAGTCAAGATTTGTACATTCCTCTTATGCTATATAAATTCAATGTGATCCGCAACTATTCATGCTTCAAAATCAAGGTGAATAGAATTTGATCAACCGATGAGGTCTCTGCACTTCGCACAAGGTTAACTAGTTAGGGCAACTTAGTGGCGTCACGTGCCCTCCTGCTTTACCTGCTGTTGAAACTTTCGTCCCTTGTTGGCTGCTTGACCTGATAACATGTTATTCTGGACCATATTCACTTTAACCTTTCTAGTTTAATTGGAAGACTCTCACTTGGATTTGGCTCCTGGTCTTATCATAAGGGTGATATAGATTGCCTTCTGAGTCTCTGACCTTCAACCCCATCATCCAAGCGCCAGATGGACGACGATATCACACGTTAGTCCAGAAATACGGAGGAGCTCCAACATTCCTGGGCACTATTCAGCTTGAATGTACCAACTGACATAAAAATGCCTCCGGCTCTACCTGAATTTGAGGAGCTCGAAGCAGGGCCTTCGTTCAAGGAAGAGAAATGGGTGATAATACCCGTTGAAGACATATACAGCGATGGAGACGAGCGGCTCTGGCCGACGGACTCCCGCTATGAGGAAGCTGACCCGACAACATACCTGGAAAAGTTAGCTAAATTATGGATGCAACACATAAAAAAGTTCAAGCCAGGTCAGTCCTATACCCTGCCAGAGGATCCTTTTTTGTGGGTTTTGAACAACCCTTTAGCAAACTGGCTTGCATCGATATAGCTGGAATATGCATTAAAAGACCTGCTGGTGTTTGGATTCTTATTTTCCATGTGCTTTTGAGTGACAATGTTGGTTTTGAGTATTCCCCTCTGCCTGCCAATGTATTAGAAGCCAGCTTTTACTAGGCCTCCTAGGAGAGTTTCACATATGGTTTCTACGGCGATGTGATGCCTTCTCGGCGTTCATTCAGGTGCTGATATATATTTTCTTCCTACATTTGGCATTTGTTGTTCATATAAACACTAACATCCTAGGCGCCCGCTAGATGAACACTACGTTCTCAGCCAGCTTCCAAAAGGCTATACACTGTTATCTCGCGAGCGTAGAAGCCACCCGCATATTGTAAGTTTTTTGATATGCTCTATATTGTTGCCCGCTGATGCTGATGACGCTCGGGATAGCGCGACAAGTTTCTTTTTGGCCACCCTTCGGGGGTATACTTCAACTCAGCCAATAAATTTTGGGACCACTTTGTCTATTTGATGAATGGTGGGACTTCTCCATGCAACTGTGACCTTTGCATACTCCAGCGAGAAAAAGGGACAACTATAGATTCAGCCGGGATGCCTCGCCTAATTAGGGGTCGAAGACGTGGTAAAGGAAAACAGCCTGCTGGCGCCACTCGAAAAGCAGCAGCAGTTGGCCCAAGAAGACGCGGTAAGGCTATGTATATTTACTTTTACAATGTCTTATGTTGACAATATCTGTGCTTATAGGCCGTCGGAAGGGGTCAAATTATCTTGCTGAAGATGAAGAAGGACTTCGAGATGTATTCAAAGAGCTCGTCTATAAACTTAAGATCAAACGATCTTTGGACGAACCAGTGGAAGAAACTGATAATATGGATTGGCGAGCGGAGCGCGAACAGCTCGTTGACCATCTAACCCGCATTTCCATGCAACATCGCTTCATCCCTCGAGTTGGAGAGCTAGTGTTGTGGTGCCCAGAACTTAAAGGAGATGTGAAATTTGATTTCAACACGGACACATTCCGTCAAGTCTGCCCAAAAACGCAAAAGTTTCTAGATCCTCCTGAGTGGCGGGCGGGAACCGTGGCCCAAGTGCCTGAAGAACTTGTGTTGTTAGGGGATATCTACTTTGCCTCGGAAAAATCCATGGCTATCAATATGTCTGGGTTCCGAATTGAAACGTTTCCAGATCCGAATAGCCCGGATAAAGCCTATTCAAGCCAGTATAAATACGTTCCCTTAAGCCATACCAGGCCTTTTAATATGTGGGATATTTTCATGCAAAATATTCCATCCGAATATTTTCATCCATCTATTTTTAATGCGCTGACGGTGATGCCATCCTTCAGCTTTTTGGATAGATATCGCTTCGCAGGGACCTGGCCTCATGCCACCATCTACTGCAAAGGTGTCTACATTGGTGCAGAGCTCCTTGTGAAAGGAGATACGGTTCGCATCATGCCCGAAAATTGGTCGTGCGGAGCCCCTTTTGGCGCTGTGACCGACGTTCTTACTATCGAAGAGATAGTCATGGAGCTCTATGATTGCGACGCCGATCTCTCTTCTCCTTTATTAAGTGAGAAGATTGCTCCCCGTGTGAAGGGGAAGGCATACACTATTTCTAAAGACAGGGCGTACCGCGACCTTTCGTCTCCAAATGAGGAGGCAGAACCATTGACAATGGATGAAGTTATGGACGCCTTCGAAACTGTCTCGATGCGCCAGTACGGACCGTGGTACCGCTTACATCCTCCTGACCAAGAAATGGAAGTTTCAATCAACTTGATCATCGGTCGCTGCTTTGAGGCCGACTACATGAGATTGATGCTCGGTAGCACAGATTTGGATCTCGATTTTGAGGGAGTCATCTCAGGGCGTGTGTACGGACGTGATGTGGATGATCGTATCCCCGAGAACAGCGAATGGTTTGCAGGAGACTATCGTCTTGAAACCCTCGCCCTTGAGACGTTTAATGGTATCGAAGTTGGAAAATACGACGACGCTCGGGACTTGAAGATGTGGCGCGCCAATCTTCGGATTATCGACGGTACAGCCACGTCGGCGGATGTTAAGGACGCAAAATTGCCCCAGAGAAAGGGCCGCCGGGTAGTGGAAGACATCATTGGCGGGAAAGCGGATTCATCGAAGTTCAAAAAGATGGGGAAAACGAGTTCGCTGGTCAGTACTGCGTTGGCGCCACCTGATCCATCGACCAATGCTACTTCAAACGACCTCACTTCAGCACACGATACTGCGGTTGATGAAGATGGTTATGAGCAAGACGATGATGTGTCTAGCATTTACCATGATGCAAAAGCAGAGGCGGACGAAAGCGAAGACTCTCTCAATGTGTTGCTGCAAATGGGCACGACTATCGTTCGCGGGGGAACGACGGAATCTGAGGGCGGCGACTACGTACCACCGTCCTCTGGAGAACCAACTACAAAACGGCGGAAGTTCTGAAGCGTACGATCTTTTTCGCCATGAATATGGTGTTGAAATCCTGTTCACTATGACGAACATTCCTCTAGCTGATTTGCTTTTCAAATATCAAATTGGACAGCGTTGCTGCATACATGCATCTATGATGAGCGGGTTAAATGCGTTCTGACCATGGTTTGGTGGCAATTGGCGTCGGCATACTTTGAATTTTCTGGATTTGGCCTTGATCTATCCTGTGGTCTGTTTTGTTTTTCTTCCTAGTGTATTTTTGGCCATTTTCCTTGCATTGCGGATGGTGGTCTTTGAGCCGGCGAATTGAATGCATTTCGCTATAACAGGCAATCTATCTCTCCTAAGCGGCCTACCATGCCCTGGCTGTCACGTAACCAAGAACACTGATAAACATCCTATTGTATCATAGCCACTTTATCTCAAGAAATAACCTTGATCCAATTCATGCAGCTCCCTGAAAACCCCTGGTCAGGTTGCCCTTGATGACACCCTACAGAAAAAATCCATCTGCTTAACGAACCACATATTTCTGGTTGCTAACTCCTTTTCTGGGTTCACCAGCTCAAAATCAAAGTTCCTAACCAACTGGGGAACGAGCTTCGACATTTCGAGTAAGGAAATATTCTTACCCAGGCAGGTACGAGATCCAAGGCCAAACTGTTTAGTAACACATTAGTATAAGCTATTGAACATGAATGGAGGCTTATTTGAAGTAACTTACCGGCAGGAAATAGTGATCCATTTTGGAGAGTTGAGCGGTGTCTGTTGTGAGCCATCTATCTGGTCGAAAAAGGTGAGCGTCTGCACCAAAGACAGACGTATTCATGTGTGCCACCCAGCTATTTATGCCGACAACAGTCTAATAAAATATGATATCAGCAGTTGCGGAATTTCAAAGGAAATTAAGAATACGGATGTCTTACTCCTGCTTCAAAATATCTACCAGTAAGAGTGACTCCACCATCAGGGACGACTCGAGCAAGCGGTAAGCCAGTAGCTGGGTGCATTCTTAGACCCTCCTTTATTACGGCCTGTAAATATGGCATGTTTTGGGTTTCCTTGAAGGTCACTGGGTTTGATAATCTTCCTTCTGCAGTCATGGTATCTATCTCGCTTCGGAGTTTTGCCAAAGCGTCGTAGTTTCGGCAAAGATTGTACATAATCGAGCTTAGGGATATAGAGGTTGTGTCAGAGCCAGCAACTATGTTCGTTAAGCAGCCCATGAGGATATTGTAGTTTGTAAACTTTTCTGGGTCCGCGGAATGTGCTTCTAGGAACTTGGTAAGGAAGTCCGTTGGTCCATTTGAGGGAACGGTGGTGAATCTGGTTTTGCGTTCGGATATGTTGTCGAGAGCAAACCTGACATTATATTCCTCCCCCGTTGCTTTGGAGCCCCGAAAAAAACTTAAGAGACGGAAGAGAGGCGGGTGGATCTTTGGATACACTCCCACCATTGTGCTATATGCCATTTTGTTGTTAATCGACTCCATTATCTCCCCGACATCTTCACCAGCGTCGAGAAAACCAAAGCGCTTTGAGAACTGTATGGAAGAGTTAATCACGGAACAGTACCTCAAAATGTATCTCTAAGGAATAACAGTAACAGGAAAAACAAACCGTGATTTCCCCAATCACATCAAAAGCGAAGCATTGTAGCCAGTGACCGAAGTTGATACCCAACTTCTGATCCGCAAATCCCCTCAACCGCTGATCGAAAATGCCGACACAATCATCCACAAAGCCCTCATAGGACACCAAAGTCGACAGCGAATAAGCAGCAGACACTTTTCGCCTCTCTGCAGCATGCCGCTTCGAATTTCGATCCGTAAAGAGGGTGAATCGACTCGGATCCGGGTGAGCCCATCCCGCATACCAATCTGCTTTCCGAAACTTGCTGCCAGGGCCGTATACTGTCCTCACTGCTTCAGGGTCATCTACACTGTATTCATTCGGGGCTATGCGGACAATTTTTCCTTTTTGATGTTAGTTTTAGTTTTCATTAAGCCCTAGATGCGTACAACACACCATGTCGGCGATGAAGCTCAATGTTGACCTTTTCAAAATGCCCGCGGTGTATTTCACGGAGGTACCAGAAACGCGTGAATCTCGCAAGGAATGGCCCTGGAATTGATCTATTTCTTGAAAATAATGCAGAAGTGATTGATAAAAGAAATCTGAGTGCGATGAAGCAAAGGAATGCCCCTAGGATCATAGAGGATAAACCCAACATTGTCAACAAAAAACTGTGATAGCAATCACAAATCTAGCATGCCAAAACTGTCTTCTTGGTTAGCTAGGCAATAACACCCATGGTGGTAGTGGCATGGATTTTGGAAAACGACGAAGATAGAGGCAACAGAAACAAGAGGTCGAAGATGCCCTATTCGACTTCGGCTCTACTTAAAGCGTTGGTCGTATCACAAGTTTTAAATCGCAAAAAGTAATACTCTCAGCTGCAATGAATACGAGTTCGCGAGTCTAGCCAAAAGGAAACATAACTACTCCAGGGAGTCAGTGATCTGGACTATGAAGGCCGGTGAACGGCACAGGTAACAATTGTCGTATCATGGTCAGACAGCTGCCGACTTCCATTGCCGGGATGGGATATGTCCCGGATACAAAATATGGGGTTGGCAAAGAGACACAGAGTGATCCTTTGGAGAGGAGTTTAGCTTACTAGATTAGGATAGGAAGAAGTGGCTTGTCATCACCTCTCTTTTCTTTCTTTCTTTTTGTTTTCTTTTCCCTTTGTGTAGGTGGGAGAGAGCATCTTTTGCGGAGTTAATCCTCTGTCATTTAGTGCTGATAAACCCACAACCCCATGGCATTTTGGCTAGCAATATATGTGACAACGGATCAAGGCGTTTGTAACCGAAACTGAGCTAGAGCTCTGGGAGTTTGTTTTCTTGCTCCTAACCACTATGTACTCCGTTACTCCCCTTCTTCCCCCTCCCTCCTCAACTGGACTTGCAAGAAACCCACCTGTGCTAAAGTGCAGCCCGTCGATCATCCCAGGACATTCCCACTCTGGCGCTGCTTGGGGGGATCTGTGCGCAGAAATCGACGAGATGCTGGTCGGCATCGTGGGCCCATGGTTTGTCCCTGTGTGCGGGCCAATGAAGGCAGCTTTGGAGCCATTACACACCACCGCTGCTGTCTTAACATACTTAGCAAGTATCTGTACTCCGTAGTTATGGACCACTAATGACAAATTGGTTAATAATCGGCCAAGCTTACCCTCGGCAATTGCTTCACCAAGCCCGAGGAAGTGATTCCGCCAGCGCCGAAGCTGATCGTCCCCGCGCCCTGTGCATTCAACCCCACACAAGTCGCGACGCTCCAGGCACATATCAAATACAGCCTGCAAAACAAAACGAGCAAGCCAGAAAGGGGGGAAAAAAGCCTTTTGGGCCAAATAAGGTTGTGCGAGACAATCGAGTGACTCATAGCTCAACAATACGATCTTCATGATTCCTCTCGACAACTTCTCTCGCGAAATCAGCAAATGTCTTTCCCGTTTCCACCTCTTCACTAAGATTTGGCTGCGTAAAAACAGCCAACGTATTCCGCGCAATTCGTGCTTGACCCGTTGTTTTCGCACCTCTAACAAAATGCGGCACCGCCTTGAACTTGCCCTTGGTTATAAGTTCCAGTGCTTCTCCGGTTTGGAAGGCGAGACAATCTTTCGGTATGTTCACTTTGACAACTTCACCTGTTCTTGAACGGATATACAGTCCTGCGTTTGAGTCTGGAGATGTGCCGAGTTCCGGAAGGGGGAATGTTCTGGAAGGATCTGCACCCGGAGGATTTGCTGCTTCGTCAACGAACATGGCGGATGTAAGACCCGTGAGGCACCCGTGATCAAGATGTGTCGCGCACCAGTCATCTTGATTTTCTTCTTCCTGAGAAGAAGCATGGTCAATCGCTATGTTTTCTGCAGGACTCGGGAAATAGTGTAGTAACCGCGCCTTGGTGGTCGTACTGGTTTTGACAACATGTTCAAGGTAGCCTGGTTTATAGCCGTCGATATTAGCTTGGGCATAGCGATCGCAAGCTCGGGCAACAAGAACTGCGGTATCGATTATGAGTGTACACAGTTCCACCAGGCTTTGGCGAAATGTGGGCAGTCTGTCGGTGGGTGGCCATATATTTGGCGCCGTATATTGTGGGAAATCAGGGTAATCCTCAGCCGGCGTATTTTGTAAATCGGGGTCCTGATAAAATGCACAGTTGACATAGTAAGATCCTTTCAAAGTATCGAAATGCCCTGATCGAAGGGTTTCTTTCCCGCATGACCATCCTACCAAGTACTTTGCCTCGGCGCAAGTGAGTGATTCTATCCGCTTGTTAGGTTGGGCCTTAGAAGAGGGAAATTAGATGGCGAGAAGCTTCACCTAGTTCATCCTCAGGCAATGATGCCAAATACGATGAATTAGATAGAACTTGGGCTCTAAGATCCTTGAACCTCTCAGGGAGATCTTTAACAACGATAATTCCCAGTGACGAAGGACCAAAGGCCTCCGCCAGTGCCTCAAATGAGACAGAACCTGGAATATTTCATCAGCAAGACATCAGCAACAATACGTCCATCCATCCAACCTTCAGTAAGCTCCTGTAGGCTCAACGTAACCGGTTGAGCTTGATGAGTGGAGCTAGCCATGGATTTTCTAGAATTGTGTGCTGAGTTAGGCCAACAATCAAAGGAGGTGGAGAGGTCAGGCTGTTTTACACCAGTACGGAGTATTCAATGAAGGTATTTATGATGGCCATCCGTCAAATTAAGTTAGGTTTTTGCGTGATGGAACAAGGAGCAGGATGACCAGAAAGCTCCCCAGGGGCCAGCGCCCACGAGTCAGTTAGTTACGGCAGAAGACGTCCCGGACGACCTGAATATTGTGAACCACAAGCTTTTTATACCCACATGCTTGGTTACATTCCACATGCCAACCCCGCAATATGTACTTTTTTTTTTCTTTTTTTTTTTTTTTTTGAAACATCAGGTAAATTTGAAACAGAGCATCAAGTTTCCTACCTCACAAGATCAGCTGGTTGTTACATGGTAAAAAGTCTGCCAAATTCAATATGGACATGATATGTAAGCTCATTAATGAGAGCCTGCGCTTGGCAATGCTTCACAAAATCCCCAATTGATAGTGCATGAAATATTGCTATGTATCACTCTCATGATATGGAGGCTTTCTAAGGGACGTTTGTGGGAAGGAGCTAAAAATATATATCGATAACTTGTCAGAAGTTTTCAGAGTTATGGTATGCTCTTTACCGCTGCCTTGTCCTCCGGAGTCATGTCACATTTTCAACTGCCATAGATGCAGGGCAGTTAATTCCCCTCTGGCGTCAGCCTCAGAGATTTTCGCCGACTCCCATACCAGAGAGTAACTACATGGAGTAGTACCATCGAAGCCGCGTTGTGGCATGCCCAATAGCTCACAAGCCCTCCGGAGAGGTTTCAGCGCCAGATCATGCTATCCCAGCCGTGAATCAAAAGGAGCGGTGTTTTCCTTTTAGCCTAATTATTTCTTCCACCAAACATACTAGAACTTTCTCGGAGTTCACACTTCACCTTGCCATCTACACAATGAGCATGCTTCAGGGACAAAGGTCTCCTGGTGGCCAGAAACCCCCTGAAAGCAAACATTGTCTCGATGTCTGCTGGGTTTCTGATTGCAGTTCCTTTGTCCGGATAAACATAAATATCTGCATCGTGAAGTCCATTGCAGGCTGGGCGGAAGCAAGGAAGATAGCAAGCGTTTCTTGGCTTTTATTTTCTTGTCTTCTCTTCTCCTCTTTTCTCCTCCCCTTCTCACAGGGAGGGGTTGCGGGTATGGAACCAATCAAAGCCATGGTTTGCTGGTGCCCTGGTGGGGACTCGGTGGGCAAGCCAGAGGGTAAGTAGACCGTGATCCACGAGCCCTTGAAAAAGTGTTCGAGGATTCTTTCACCTGCGGTGGGTTAGCAACGACACGTCAGTTATGGCTAGCAAGCAAGGGGAAATACTGAGCAAGGTACAGAATTCCACGCCCTGAATCTACGATAGCGTACTCCGTACTTAGTACGATACGAAGTATTTGGCTTCTGAGGAATCCAGACACCCATTGCAAGCGACATAGGAGCAGATCCTCCGTCTGCGAAACACAGGGTCGTTAATATATCTATATACTTGAGCAGAACAGATATATGATCTATTCCCTGACACAACCCAACTTTGCTTCTTGAGCTTTCCCTTCATAAGCAGTGGATATCCCCGAAGCTTCTGTTAACATTTGTGATCCAGCGCGGATTTCTCCTCTAGCGTTTCCCCTTTTGTCCGTTGCTAGGAACACATCAGCTCACTATATAAACAAGCACGTGCTCACCTCACCTTTCACACCCTTTCTTCTCCATGAAGAGATTTGAACAGATGGTTGAAGAGCACCTCAAGCGTCTATATCAAGAGAAAGAACTGGACTCAACGGACATGCACGTTGATATGGATTCTCCAGCTGAACCGTTAACTTCGCTTGAATCTGGTGATCTAAATGATAATCTAGGAACCCCTCATGATCATAATCTTATCCCTTCTGAACATGGGGAGATAGACACAATGACCATGATTTCTGGCATCTCTACTACTGAATCTCTCGAAAGCCCCTTTCTTGAAACTGCGACCCGCTTTAGCCCAACAAATCCTCCTTCGAAACGCAGCCATGAAGAGGAAGGCGAGATTGTAGAAGAGACCTCGAAAAGACCCAAGCAGCCAGAGAAAGTCTCCGAAATCCCATGCACATGCGCCATTTCGGATAATTGCAGACGTGCAGCACAGAACAATGTGAGCGATTGCCGAACCTCGTTGGCGCCTTTCCGTCGAAAGCAGAAGCCAAAATCCAGAAACGCAATGTGAGTTCTGCCCCTAACAGGCTATAACTTTAGATCATCCATAAATGCTGATCCTGCAATAGCTTTCCAATTGCCGTGTCTACAAAGCAGCAAGCCAAGGTTAAGCGGAATCTGGACGAGATGTCTCAAATCCTCTCTCTTTTCAGGAGAGCGCGTACTTCATCTCCAGGCGATCTTTCGCATATATTTACCCAGATGAGGCAGCGTGTTCAGCAACTGCCTTTCTCCGAAGTCCATCCTTCGTCAGAGGCCATCCTAAAATCGCGATTCCTTGATGCAGAATCTGGCTTACCAGCAATTGCCAACAGTCCTTTGATTCCATGGGACATTAAACTTGACGTGGATTTGCTTCGCCTACGCTGGGAGAAGGGCGATATTGAAACTGGCCTTGATCGTGGGTTGATAACCAAGTGTGCAAGGATCGTTAGCCGAAGTTTCGATCCTGCATATAAATACAGAGTTTCACCCTTCTACGCTGGAGAAGGAAACCTTCGCAACGGTCAATGGTTCCCCTGGCAGCTGAGTGCAATTCGAGATGGAGCCCACGGAGAAGTTGAAGCTGGTGTTTCTGGCCGTGAGGGTCTCGGCGCTTTCTCAATCGTTCTTAGTTCCAGCCACAGATATGCGGATAGAGATCAGGGAGAAACAATCTACTACTATGGCACCTATGGAAAGAACGGCAAGATCTCGCATGGCACTAATCTTCTCCTTGATGCCCATCAGAACGGGATCCCAATCCGTGTCCTTCGCAGTTCCAAGCTTCCTGCCATAAACAAATACCGCCCGGCCGAAGGGTTACGCTACGATGGGCTGTACAAGATTGAGAGTGAGGAACTCATGGAGGAAAGCAGCTCGCTCTATCGGTTCAAGCTACAACGTGTCGAAGGCCAGACTCCCATCCGTTACTCGGGTCCGGAAGCGAGACCAACTCCCAAGGAAGTGGAAGAATTTAGAAACCTTCAGAAGTTTGCCTCTGCTTCGAGACCCAAAAAGTCTCCTTAAACGGGGTCTATCTCGGAATGATATGAAGGTTTATTTGGCCGTAAGGTTTGGGTGGTCTCTCCATAACTTGATTCTAAGGATATTCTGCAACTGGACTTACTTTAAAAATCTTATGGGAACACGACGCGTAGAACGGGTAATTCTTCAGAAGAGTATCTGGGTCAGAAACTGGTAATATAAGGGGTTTTCAAGGATGGGACAGAATTCACATGGTTATTTCTTTCTTGTTTTCTGAGATATCTGCTTGTATCCATGAACTCGCTTAAGTTTGAAGGCAGAGCGAACAGATGAAGGCTACTATTTATGATTGCAGAACGCACAGCACCCCCACCAATGGGAAGATCTTGAACTTATATGTCAATTTTTAGAAGGGTTGCCTTGCTAACTATCCCTATACCATCAAAACTCCATCCCAATATCTCAAAATAAGTAGAGATCGCGCTTAGAATGTTCTACCCTGCGCTCTGCTTCACAGTGCATGAATAGATATGAATCACAGCATCATCCGAACTCCGATTGCGCCGGATCCCATGCATCAAACGTTTCATAAAAAAATTCGTAAAAGCTAGACAAAGATGAAGACGGGGAGGGGAAAACGCAAAACGAGGAAAGCGAAAGGATACGTGCAGGTCTTTCTCACAAAATAACCTTTTTTGCATCCCTTGGGTGGCTCTCATTCGGACAATATGGGCATTTAAATTTGCCACCTTTGCTTAATCTCATTAGAGACTCTTCGGCAACGACATGCCCGCAGGGCATCATCATAGGTGGGTTGTCATCGGTGGTCTGTTCTTTAGAAACAGGACATACAAATATAGAATGGAAGAGGTAAGATGGTGGAAGAGGGATTTCGACCTAGTTATTGGGGGTCAGAAACGGAATGAAAGCATGTCATGGCCATGAATATATGCTTACGGGTAGTTCATTCTGAGTGGTCCACTCGGTGCGTTTCTCTTTCATGATAGCTTGGAGTTTGAGAAGGGTGGGAAGAGCGATTGCACCTGCCGTGGCAGCGATATATAGAGGAGAATCGGCTGATAAGCCAAGTAGAGCGCAGAACTCGCGTGTGAATGCCGTAGCAACATCGGACCATGCCCAGGGGTTATTGAAAATAGATTTATACGGAGAGTCATCAAGATTCGGACAGAATGCCATGGCGCCCATTAACTGTTCAACCTCACGAAGGTGTCGGGCGTGGAAATGGCGAAAATCTGTCCTCGCATATTCGAGTGCAGCGGCTCTGCCAGCTATCATCGATGTATTGCCCGTCTTGCCGCCATGAAACAACCATACGAACTGCAGCCGACACAGCTCGAATTCGAGATTGCTTCCCCTTTTCTCCAGCTCGACTCGATGTTCTCTTGCCCAGTCGATGGCAGGCAGTAGATTTTGCTCCTCACGCAACTGGTGTAATATACGATACATCAAGGAAAATTGGTCTCGCATTTCTCCGGATTGCAGATCATCAAATTGCTGGTTTGCATTGTTGCGCTGACCTGAGCTGGGTATATCGCTAAAGGACTGTGCAGGGGTCGGATTTGCCGCCACTTCTGAGAGGAAGGTGGATGCTACGGAGAACTGGCCTTCTCGCAACAAATGCATTGCAATCGCCCTATTGACGAGAGCAGACTGCAATGACAGAGCATCATATTCGGTGCTCGGAAGGGGCTTATCTTTGAATAGCTGCACATTCATTATTCATTAGAACATTCCCTACCCCGCGTCATAGTCCAGGAGCATCTTGCCTTGTCCAGAGCCCTGCCATACTTGTTCAAGGCAGTGTAAGTTTCTTTTAAACTGTCGTTGATTGTATCAAAGGAGGCTTTGGCCGGGTTTTGAAGTTTAGCCAGGGTTATCGAAGCGGAGCTCGGATCTAGAAGTGCCAAAGCGGTTATTCATATTCTGTCGTCCGCCAGTTCAGGAGAAACACAAGATGGGCACCCTCATGCGGACAACATACCCCTTTCAATAGCATCTCGAGCTTCTCTCAGCAAATCAATTGTGGCCTGCACGTCATTAATACTCTTCGAGCTCTGCGCCCGCTTGAACACGCGCTGGTGCTCCTTCTGTAGCAACTCCATTTCCGACGTTAATAAGGACTTGGATGGTTTAGATCAACTCCGTAGGCACATCTTTCGTGTAAAAGGAGTTTAAAGGGCGAGGATAGGGAAAGTCAGCGGCTTGGATGTGAAATTGGTTGCGGCCAGAAGAGCGGAGGAGGCCATCGTCCACATGGAGCTAATGGTGGTGGGTGAGGAGCTAAGTTACTGGTGCTGTTGGTGCTTTTTTGTCACCTGGCGTTCTCCAGGACGAGTGAACTGTAATTCGGTATACTAGCGGTTTCTTTTACAAGTGAGATGATACTTTGATTGGCCATTATTTTTAAATTCTGCCAAATCTACCCAGTAGTAATGGCAGATCCAAGTATTTCAAAAGGTCAACCAATAGGATGCATGTAACAATACCTGGGTTGCGCCTGTGACGTCGGCTGATTATTTCCAAGGTTACACTTTTGGTTCCGCCAGCAGTCTGCCCCATCAATGTGCCGCGATATATTGAGGCCTTGACCCCTGGCCTTCACAGTACAGCAGCCCTGGGACCAAACAAGAGACAACTATGGTGTATCTGATACGAGGATATGATTGCAATGGCTCTAGAGAGTGTTGAATACTGGTTATCCTGGGATCATTTGGCGTATTGGAGGCATCGGAAGCGTTTCTCTTGTTCAGGACTCATTGGGGTCAAGTGGGGATAACCCGATACCTTCAAGCACGAATTATAGCTACGACATCGATGATTCACAGGCCTCCTCGCTTGTCATACAATATGGCACAGGGTGTCGGCTCTGAGCCATCTTCCCAGCGTCGTACAATCCCGGATCAGAGTGCATCCGCCTCCCCGGCCGAGAAATCCCAGCTTCAAGCACCGGCTCAGTCCACGGGCGAAAACCAGGCCGTTGTCTTGGACGAAGGCTACGAAAGGCTGGTATTTACCGATCCTGTAGCCTTTAAGTGCCTAGAGGAAGACCCGTCGACGGTGCTAGTGGAAAGACGATGTACCCTTATTGGGTATGTGACCTACATTGTCGAGCAATGGGCCTGCTCAAGGGTTCATCCCACGTTCGTTATCAATACCTATACCGGGGACCCATCTCACACTGCTGTTGCCGGCGTTCTCAAAGTTCCCAAAGATGAGCAGCTCTGGTCCCCAAGGTTGAAGGTTTACTTCAATACGATGGCCCAACCCCACACCCGAAAGCGAGAAACTCCATGGGGATTATTGATGGTGACGAATTTAAGCAGTTTCCCCTCCTCCCTGACAGTTATTGATATCCCGGAAGGCGATGTCAGAAAATATCGAGAAGATTTCGTCGTCAATGAGAACCTGAAACGTCTTGGGTGCTCTGGCAGGGCTGGGCTAAATTTGAAACAACCAACGCCCGCGACCGAAGCCAAGTTCTATCAGCTCTACAGAACAAGTGAACGAGTGCCACTATTCAATGCTGTGATAGGCTTGGTTAAACTATGTCAGATGGCCTTAAGTGTGTTTGATAAACTGGCGTCTGAATACATAGATGGCTTGCTTTGTGACGTGACAGAGCGGGCAATAAACGATTGGTGGACCGACATTGGGACGGAGCTTTTTAATATTGAGCCAAGCGATGGCATACTTGGGCCAACAACGGTTTCGGCGTTACTTGGAACCTTGATGGGGGCAAGAAACCGTCTTCATACATGGGGTGCACCCGTTTCCAAAGACGCATTCGACATAGAGAATTTGAAACGAGGAATTGGAAGTTTCCAAAAGGCTCTCAAGCTCGAGAAGACCAGAAGGTTGGATAGGCAGACTTTGGACAAGTTACACCGAGTAACAGCGAAAGCTGCAAGTGGAGAAGGATGGGCTGTCCCGCGAGCGGTCAAGTCCACAGTCGCGGAACTTGGCGGCAAAGGAGGAGAGATGGTCATGGGAATTGTTGGCGGACGCGACAAGGCTGGGATCTCGGAGGTCGAAACTTTAGATATAGACCGATTCGTTCAACTCGTGAGTGGCGAAAGGTCCAAATGGCTCTGGCATGGAAAGCTTCGGAAATCTTACACCGACCCTTTCCGACATGACGCTGGAGAAGATGAAATGGCATTTTCCAGAGAGGCATGGTCAAGCAGAAGGAAAGACACGTGTAGCCCCTTTACGTCCGCTCGCCCTTCCCTCGAAACGGAGCAGTCTTGGAAGCATCTAGAGACCCCAGTATCCGCTGATAGCAAGGAGCAACAATTGAAATATGCTCTTAAAAAAACGGTTAGTGGCAGGGTATCAGACGCTCGCGCTGGACTCGGTCGGTTTAGGGATGCTGTTGGACTGCCAGCTTTGCGTTCTCACCAGCATCACAAACAACTAAAGGAAACCATCGATACCGATACTGATGTGCCTGATCAGCAAGCCACGGATGTGGCACTGACATTTCCAGGGACAAAAGGCAGGTTAGAAGGTGTCAAGTCCTTGGGAGATGAGGCGCGTGTCTCTGGAACTACAAATTTGGATAAAAGCAGGCCCGAACTTTTGTCAAGCCCATCAGACCCCGTGCCTACGAGCGAGCCCGGCCGCGGCTCAACAGAATTCCAAAGCCACCTACCCCAAGCAAACGAGAAGTCTCAAGGACAGTTATTAACGGATTATTTAACTCCGGAGCCACGGGTATCGTCAGGCACGCTGGATGAGCTTTCACATAAAAAAGACCCTACGTATGAGCCGCTCATTCTTACTAGGGTACTTCGTCGAGTACCCAGTTGCCCATCATCCCTCGCGGAGGATCCAGTATCAAATTTCCAGGCTCGTTCCGTTCGACATTTGTCTTTTAGTGCCGTTGAGGAGGCGATGCTCTCCCGCCATTCCATCGACGATTTAGAGCCAGCGGACCCCGAATCAGATAACACGATAGTGGATCGAATTCTCTACGAGGACATGCGGATTGACGATGAACGTGCCCTGGCGACTAAAATCGTCAACCTAGACATGAACACAAGTGCTTGGGTGGAAAGCCAAGTAGTTGCAGCGGAGGGTATTGACATCACCGCGTTCAATCGTCTGAAGGAGCTAGACTCCGCCTACCAGAATAAATACGCTGAGTATCAAGCGCTACAAAGAAGCTCGACCGAACTGGTTTCAACGGAAAGCCAGAATTTGCTTGAAGGGTCTAAACGGCTAGAGACGCTAGGCGCTAAGCTCGATTACGAATTGAACTCACTGCAATCGAAAGTCGAGGAGGTCGAAGGCGGTCTCATTGACTATGAACATCAGATCGGGGCCTTAGAGAGCCGGCTGAGAGAACTTCTGAAGGCTGAAGAGCAGTCAGGAGCTCCATGGCTAAAATGGGCCAAATGGTTTTGGAATGGTGGGACATGATATTCCCTTTTAGATTTGTGTATATTTTACTTTACCCTTTCTGTGATGTATAGACAAGCCAGTAAAGTTTGTAATGATAACTGTCCTTCAGAGATTCGAAGTCTCTCAGTAGCAAGATTAAGAAGCATTTTGTACGAACTGGAGAGAACAAAAAGGTGAATTCTTTGCATAATGTACAAAATATCATTAAAACGACGCATTGATGGCCCGTAACTGTAATGGAGAAAGATTCCTAAGGCTCAGAATATTTCGCCCAGCGAGTTGTTGTTTTATTTCTTGCGCATGCGACCTTGAATATTTTGTCAGGACCCGAGCCCAAGCGCATAAAGTTCAAAGAAGAAGGATCTCACGCTTCTCATACCAAAAAGCGAAAGACAACCCAGCCCATCTATTATTTAGCTCCCAATAGACAAAACAAATAAAAAAACAAAAAAAAAAAATAAGAACAAGATCACATTCCAAAACCAGCTCCCGGCTGACCGGCGCCGGCTTGGCCTTGCATCTGGGCCATCTTCTCCGACACCTTCATGTGAACCTCGAAGAATTTAGAAACGCAGCGGTCGAGGCAGACGGATTCGCCTTTGTTGAGATCGCCTTCCCGATAGTCTGGAGGAATGCATTTCTTCATGCATGCAGCGTTGAGTCTGCGAGAAATGAATAGCGACTGTTAGCAACCTGATAGATAGCACGAGGATTGGTGCGCACTGAGGGAATAGGACCGGACAAAAGCAACGCAGGGTGCGCGATCCTAGGGAATGCAGCATACCGGTTGACCATGTCCGTGATCATCTCGAACTCGAGCTCTGCTCTTTGGATCTTCTCCTCCGAGGATATTTGAGGGCGGCCGCCAAATAGGAAAGACATGTTGAGCGCGTAAACGGAGAGATTTGTTAAGAGGTCTGTATATCTATGATAAATAAAAATAAATCACGGTGTTAACGTTTAAGAAAATATTGCAGGAATTAGTCCTGAGAAAGTGTCGATGCTGTTTAACGACCTGGCCGGCGTGCTTCGTCGAGCTGATAACAAAATTTGGACGGCGGGCCGGGAGCTTTGGTTTGACGGGCCGATGATAACCCGAAGCGGAATTTCAACATCAACCATGCATAAAAGTATCGGAAGACCCTCCCACTCCATGAAGGCATATCGAATCTGCTTGATCTGTCGTTTTGGCTGATCGGTGTTTGTTATGCTACCATATTGAATTCCGGGCAGATGCGACCAGTCTGCTCTCATCGGGTGTCCCAGCTATGTCTGGATGGATCGTTCCTCAGGTACAGGCCATTCTTCTCCACCTAACAATACCAAGCCATCGCGTCGGCATAAAACAAAACTCGAACCGTATATAGAGTTCCACGTGCTAACAATTCCAGTTATAGGTCCTATAGGCTGCGCGTTCGCTATTTAACTAACAGTAAGGCGGCGCCTCACGACCGCGGGAACCCAAACCGAACCTTTTCAAGCGGCCGTGTGTACGGCAGCAACACCTCAGATGGGAATACGAATAAGCTCCCCCGATGGAACCGGATTGACGAAATTAAAAATGCGTCTTCCAACCCATATCCACGATTAGCCGTTAGTCCGCAGTCGACAAGCTGCGAACATTTTCGTTCACAGTACAACCATATTCAGCCCAACGAGACACTGGATGATGTGTCCGTGTTTCTATACGGTATGCGTGAAATTGATGAGATACCGATTCAAAAATGGAAGTTGTGACTTAGACCACTAGGTAGAATAAGATCCCAGCGGACGGCTGGGAGCAAGCTGGTCTTCTTCGATCTCTGGCAGGACGGGCATAAAGTGCAGATTCTGTGCAATCAACGGATTCTCGGGGTTACGGGTGTATCTCCGGAGAGATTTCGAGAGTTCTACCATTTGCTACAAAGAGGCGATGTTTACTGTAAGTTCTTCTCGTCTAGAACCACCATTGTTGGTCCACTCGGTTCTGATAGACTTAGCCATCACCGGGAAACCCCATCGAACCGGCAGAGGCGAACTAACGCTCCTTGCCAGCGAGCTGCCAACCCTTTTGTCACCCTGCCTTCACGATGTACCTGTAGATACGAAGGAACATGCGGTATCTCCGTATGAACGTCACGTTCAATTTCTCGCAGACCCAGGTGTAGCCGATATTCTCCGAGCCAGATCATCTATCGTCCAACATATTCGCAATTTCTTTCTTGAGAGACGGTTTATTGAGGTTAATACCCCGATTATCGCTGCAGCGGCTGGAGGAGCTATTGCCAGGCCCTTTCACACCACTGCTTCCGAATCAGTAGAGCAATTGCTAGCTCTGAGAATAGCACCCGAATTATGGCTAAAGCGGCTCATTGTAGGTGGGTTCGATAGGATATTTGAGATCGGGCCTTCGTTCCGAAATGAAGGTGAGTCAGACGTCCACTAAGAAGTGTTTTTTTAGCTACTAATTCCCGTGCAGGTCTTGATAAAACCCACAATCCTGAATTCACCACTTGTGAATTCTACCAGGCTTTCGCCGACCTGGAGTGCCTGATGCAGATGACCGAGACTTTGTTATCTGGCTTGTCTCAAAATATCCGGGAGTTGAACGAAAAACTAGGCACCCTTCACCCCATATATGTTGATTTCAGTACCCCATTCCGTCGAATAGATTTTGTACCGGCGCTGGAGAGCGCTATGGGACATACCCTCCCTGATTTGAAGTCAGACGGCGCGACTTTGAAGATGGTAGAACTGTTAAACACCATGTCTATTCCTCTTCCCGATCATGTATCACTACCCCGATTATTGGATAAGCTCTGTGCAGTGTATCTCGAGCCTCAGTGCAAGGACCCCACGTTCATCATCAACCACCCAGAGTGTATGTCTCCCCTTTCCAAATCTTATATCCATCCGACCTGCAGTCAAGTCGTCTCGGCCCGCGCGGAGCTATTCGTCGAAGGAAAGGAAGTTGTGAACACGTATGAGGAGGAGAACTCTCCATTTGAGCAAAGAAGGAAGTTCGAGGAACAGCTTTCATATCGGGACCCGGAGAATCCTGGGGAGCTCGATGAGAGCTATCTGCAGGCACTCGAATGGGGCCTGCCGCCGACTGGAGGATGGGGTTGCGGTATCGACCGACTGTGCATGTTATTCACTGGTGCCCGGCGGATTGGCGATGTTCTGAGCTTTGGGAATTTGCGAAGCGTGACAAGGCCGCACACATCTGTCTACCCTCGAGAAAGCGGCTCCTAAAGCTCGGGGTGCTCACCTTATTGCCTTCCAGGTCCTGAAAGAAGGAACCACATGGGTAAATGGGGAAGCTTATTGTTAGACGACGGGCCCCGGCCTCCATACATATACCCTCGAGTGATGTCAGTTTATGACTCGTTACTGTATTATAGATGCCGTGAAGAGGCGGATTGGGAAATACGAATTTCATTTTTTTGATAATCCAACATGTCTCCGGAATCCAAGACGCATCAATGCCACATGAATTGTTCTCGACATTTCCCCAGGGACGGCCCTGATCCATGCCGCCGGGAGGGAAGGCAATCTTTGAAACGCAGCCAAGTCAGGGAGGGCCCGTTTAGTGTGCATTGAGGCCCCACATAATCCATGCGCTATATTCAAGTTTGCCATCCTCCTGGAAATCTGCCAAGAGAAGAAATCCATGTCGCATGTGGTTGCGAATAATGCAGCTGCCTTGACAAATATGGAGTGGTGAATGTAATATGCTGGAGGTTGTGCGTTGGATCGTCAAAGAGGGTTATCTCCACCTCATTGTTTGTTCATGCATCAACTTTGTTGACGAGTCGTCCAGGAGCAACATCCGCCCACAGCTGCGGGTGCAAACAGACTGCCTTGGTTCTTTGTCGGTTGAGCCCACTGGTGTGTTACACTTCTTCTCAACTCCGTAGTTCGGGGAAGTGTTCCTGGCAGCCAAGGACGGACGGTAAGCGAGTGGGGACCCAGGAGCTCCCCTCGGCCGGGCTTTCGCCACCGGGGCTTTTGAAATTGCGACCATCTCGCGGGCTTATGGAGGTTCGAAACTGATAGGGCCGTGGAGCCCCTTGGGTGATCCCAGCACAACCAAAAAAAAAATTATTATGTTGGGAGGGGCGAAGTGTGTTGAAGAGTAAGAATGCAGGATTCCCGACCCCCGAAAACCTGCCTCTTGTCTTGTATTACTTTCTCCTGCCTTCAGGGGATGCAGCTATACACAACCCCGTCGTTGCTCCATTGTTCCCCATGCTCGGGAAGAGGAAGCTTTCCCCGAGGTGTGAACGCAGGCGGCGTTGATTCGTCACGGGCGCTGATCCCTCCCATCGTGGCTGCGGCGGCCAGAAGGCCGCTGTGATTGGCTGCGATGCCGTACTAGCTCTCCACGTGATCTCGCGTGAGTCACCTGCGAAGTTTCGTGTGTCTCGAAATCCAATTTACACGTCGCATTGCTTGTTTGGCGGCGGCCAGTCGCGTCGCCCTCTGCTGATGCCCAGCGCTGAGCAGTTCGCAAAAAAAAAAAAAAAAAAGTATAAAATCCAAGTGCTTCGTACTCCGTAGTCTCCTTGGTAGCGTTTGTCGCCTGCTGTGAACGGGATAATCCTTGGGGACTCCGTCGATGCCAAACTATATAAAGAGGGCCTGCTCTCCCACATGGAAAATGAGAGACTTCTCGAACCCCTGACTGAAAATTTTCGCTGGACTTCTTCTGGCCAAAGCTCAAACACCCAATCAATTTAAATTAGTTTCTGTTAATTAGTGGACTGGTTAGTTATTGTTTGTCTATAAATGAAAGAACAAAAAATTTGTTCGAGTCCTCTGTCCTTCTGATACTTAATATAACTTTGGATCAAAAGGGGCCTTTACTTCATCCATCGTACGGCCGTTAATTCGAGGCACTCGACGGAATACGCACATATACACGTATCTTGACCACAACAGACTTCCCACATTTAAACCACCCTCAGCCATGTTTGCCAGGCGTCCTTCACAGTCTCACAGTCGCTCGGAGAGCTTCTCTACCAAATATCGTGCCGGCAAATCGGCCTCTCGGTCGAGGAAGTCGTTCAGAGGAGGAGAGCCACCTGCGATCTTGAAGCGACCAGGAAAAGGACAGAAACCGGAGAGCCCGATTAATAGGTAAGTTCCGGCGACTCAAATACATCGGCTTTCGTCTCGTGGTGACCTAACTGCTAATGGCTCTCGCTCCCGTTGCTAGCAATCTAACATCCGCCATAGTCACTATCTGCGTTGGACCCGAACAGCGTCTCTTCGCTGCCCATGAAGAAATCCTATCCGTCTCACCTTTCTTTTCGTCCTGTTGCCGCGGCCAGTTCCTTGAAGGTGGAAATAAACGTATAAACCTGCCCAAGGAACAACCGGAGGTCCTCTCTTCGATCCTCGAATACCTTTATAAAGGAGATTACTTTCCTCGTTTAATACATAATAAGCGGAGAAATACCTGGGAGTTGGAAAACGGAGTAAACGAGAACGGTGCTCCGGTAACTGCTGAGACGACAATCATCAATCAGGCTGATGGAGCCACGATATTGAAGGATACTGCTATCTAGTACGTCGTGCTTTTTCTTTTCTTTTCCTTTCTTATTTCTTTTTTAAGGCTGGAAACTAATGACTACTGAACAGCTGTGCAGCCGACCGATATGGGCTCTCTGAACTCAAACGCCTTGCCCTCCGAAAGCAAGGTCTCCAGTCTGCCATTCAATGTAGCACTATCTTATCAAGCGCTCGCTACGCCTATGCACACACGCCCGATACTGACTCCAAACTACGTGCTCATTACCTTGCATTAATAATCCGAAGTCGATCAACATTTAAGCGCAGTGGCACAATGCAAATGGAAATGGAGGCCGGTGGGAAATTATTCTTCGACCTTTTTGTCGCCATGTGCAACCACATGGTAAGTTCATCCTTTCTCTCCCTACTTTACAAGGGTTATTCGTTACTAAATCCTTTCAATCTTATCCAGGACGATATGACCGGCTCCTCCAAATCCCCCTTCTCCCGCTAATTACGTCTTGGATCGACCCTTAATACTCCCATATGCGTTAATAAGTAACCGATAGACCACATTTCTCCCCTCTGGCCTTCTTCATATTCCACGCCACTCATCCCGGAACGCACAGCCGCGCGGCCTCACCCCACCCTAAACCTTTCTCTATGAGGAGCACCTCCTCTCCGTACCTTGCAAAATACAGAACTGTATTCTAATATGATACCCGAAAGTTGATCACTTCGACATACCGATTTCACACAATTTTCGACCGCGAAACCCGTCAACAAAAGGTTAGGAAAACGGAATGGCCCTGGAGGCCTTTTAATGTTTTACATTTTTCTTTTCCCAGACGACAAGGTCGTGGGCATGGCAGCCCACGGCCATATTTTCTTGTATTATATATTATATTTAATTCTTTTCTTCGGTTTTCATTTACCTTTCTTTTTTTTCATTCTATTATTATCATTATTATTTTTAGTTCAACTTCAGCCTCTCACGCACGAAAGATGGTATGTGGCACTCTTCGAAGCATTATGTGTTTTCTTTTGATCTGTTTAAGTTTGCTTATATTTTAATATCATATACCCCGGGGGGGTTTGGCTGCTCATTTCTTTATCCCACCTCATATCTTGTTGCTTTCAATCCTTTCTACAAAGGCAAGTCAACCCTCGGATTTGTGACACTACACTGCGTCGTTCTACATTCTATATCCTACACCCCTTTTTTCCAGCGCATCATACTCTATTCTATCACTGGTCTATCATATTAACCCATTCCTTTGATACTCCTCTTGTTGGAGCCCCAACATGTTCTCTTTTGAAAGAAAAGGCTCTGAAGATATTGATCTCTGTGCTTTTGTGTCAGAGCCTGCTAGGGACAAATAAAATGTCTATCCTGGCCCCCTCTTGTTAGACTACCACAAATTGTGCATTCTCCTATTGCAGATGTGTATTTCTGTTTTGAAACTGTTGAAGTACCATGTTTTTAGTGTTGGGACAGGCACTACTGGGAGACTGTGAATGAAGTTTTGAGAGATTTTGAAGGCTGAGCCGCTGTTTATCAAAGATGAGTTAAAAGTGATAAAAACATTAGAAATTGAAACCAGAGGAGGATGGCTAGATTACGTAGAGTACAATCAGAGTTTTGTCGGAGTTGGATGAAGTTTTGTAATTGCATGTTTCGCGAGGCGCTCCTGATAATTATGCCTTGTTTGGGCGACTAGGACGAAACACCCCTTCATTATCTGTTGAGGCTTAAAACAGAACACTCCAGGAAGGTCAGCCTTCTCCTATCAGAAGTGACACTGCCAGTGTTTCGTATGAGAGCGTAGTGGTATGTGAAAGATTCTGATATATCTATCATGAGCTCATAATGTGGACCTCCATTTTGGACATAGACAAATCATGTCTGCTCTTGAGGGCACACCAAGGAAGCTGCTTCAGAAAACTTGGGACGAAAATGCCAACTCATACACCTGTTCCTGGGAAAGCAGTACCTCCCTTGCTGAGAACAATAATACCACGGTCCCGAGCTATGTATCCTTTCATCAGGTTCTATGTAGCAAGGCAATTAGCTTCTATAGTCTACTTCAACAGGCCCGGTTTGTGAAAGAATTGTCAGGTGCTGCCTCTCACCTTGTATATTAGATTCGACAAATAACATTCGACCTGATCAATTTCTGCCCTTAGCTTGTTCGGCGTAAGTTTCTCTTCCTCTTCGCTTTCCTTCGCATCATCTTTCGATAGGCTTCCTACAGAGTGTGTCCTCAGTCGTATGGCTGCCACAAATTCCATGACAGGCACACGCGTTCTCCTAATTGGTGGCATACCAGGCGTAGGCGGGTCAAAACCACCGGCAATGAACACTTTCCTGAACAAGTTGCGCACCGCTATATCACGCCCTCTTTCTAGTGGGAGATAAATCATCCGTTTGGTAAATGCGTCGCCACCAGCCGCGATGGCAGCGTCGAAACCCGGAAGGTCTCCCTTTCGAATGCACTCACAGAGTGGACGGAACAATGCTTCTAGGCGAGGAAATGGTGCTAGAAGGCGCTTCGAGGGTAGAGTGTGGGTTGTAACGAGGTGACATGGTATGAGATAGGTAAGGATAAACCTGGGATATATTAGAGATAAACAGTAGATAGAGGACGCTACAAAGGAGGAAGTACTCTTTATTCTTCACAGCATCTTTGTGGCATAGGTTCCAGGCATACGTCAGGTGTTCCTCCGCCTATAGATATTAATCCCCTAAGTTAGGGCGACAAAACATGTACCTCTGCTAGGGCTGTATCAGCGTACCTCTTTGTAAGCTTCCTCTAAGAAAAATATTACTCCAAGGTAGTATTTGAATGTGACAATATGGGATTTAGGGAATGCTGTAAGCGGGGGCATATCGGCTTGCGAGGCATCCATCGCGTGCAGCAAACTCTTACAAGACGACACGGTGCCAAGCTACAAGGTCTAATGTTAGAAACGGAGCATAACATATTATGTTTTTCCTCGTACCTTAAAATATGTCTTGAAAGACAGATTGACGGTGTTGTAAACTCCCCATTTACGAGACTCCTCAATTGGCGCCCTGTTACCTCAGTTCAGAATCCTATAAACACCAAACACGTAAGAAAAAGGAGTACTCCAACCGTACCTGTCATGAAGGCAGAGCGTAAACATCCGATTGATGATCCGCGATGCTTCTTCCAAATTTTTATGCTTATGCACATCCGAGACCACATCTTCCTGGAAATCACCTTTCGAGGCCTCGGGTTCTGCTTCGGTCTGTGCATCGGCCTTGATGGCAAATATCCGAAGATATTTACCCGTAACATATAGACATGGTAGTGTCCAAGCTTGGAACCCGCAGCTGGAGTAGCCCTTGATTACCAGACTGGCCACTTCTTTCCAGCAAACAAAAACACGGTTCCAGGACGCTTTGTTGGGATTTTCTTCGAATTTCACAAGCTCTCCGGCTGTCTTCCAAAAGGCCACAAATATATCGGTCCAGGCATTTGCTTCAAGTTTAGGGAGCTTTGTGCCTGTGGACCGATCATCAAGAAGGGCATATCGGATGTCTAAAGTAGCATTTGTGGAATTGGTAAAGTGGTAGAAAGAGTACAGTCGATCAGGGTCAGCGGGGGTATCAATAGGCGTAATCACATCGGCCAACGCTGAACCCGAGCCACTGAATTGGGCGTCTTTGAACTTTGCAAATAGTGTTGTCATAGTTGCGGTTAGTCCATCAAGTTTAGCTAGGAGATAAATACCGGAAAGCTACTCCTTCACGCAAACCATTTTGTGTTGAGCACAATCTCGCTGCTCCATGGCGGTTGTGAGGCAATCTTGATGCGGGAAGGTTTGGCTTGACGATAAGGTTTCCGATAAGCAGAGCGGAGTCTTGGCAACTCAGTCCTAATTTGGACTAGCGCCAGTGCTATGCTTGGTTAAGCGAAACCCACAGCCCTAGCACAACAAAGTCGACAATTCTCGATCTTGGGAGTTCGCGGACGGTTCAGCAATCAACGACACGACAGCACAATCCTCTCAAAGTAAGTTGCTCCATGGAAATGTTTTGTGCTAGATACTAACATTATCGCTAGATGGGTAAGTTTTGCTTTTCATTTCAACGTTTTCGCGTCCTAGCATTCTCCGTGTCTTTTTGGTCAGCCGCAAGAATTTCAAGTCGGAGAAGAGCAATCGCATAATTGGCCGACAAATCGAGGGTTTTCCGCAGGATTACAAAAATTTCCGAGTGTTTTCATTTTTAAATCCGTTTTGAAGCCGAGAAGCGAAGTGTGGAATTTACAGCCAAAGATCGCCGATTAGACATTCAAGAATGCCGCATCCGATTTTGTCTCAGGAAGTTGATCTGCGCGGATTCTGATGATATGATATGTAGGGCGTCTCAACGAATACCAGGTCATCGCGCGCCACCTGCCCACCGAGGCAAACCCAACCCCCAAGCTGTTTCGCATGAGGATTTTCGCGCCCAACACCGTCGTCGCTAAGTCCAGGTTCTGGTACTTCTTGATGAAGCTCCGAAAGGTGAAGAAGGCCAATGGCGAGATTGTCAGCATCAACCAGGTACGTGGGATGCCTTGGCTATGAAACGCCATTCTCTATCATTTGCGGACGTTTATTCTAAGATTTCATATTTGCCTTCCTTTAGATCCACGAGAAGCGCCCGATGAAGGTCAAGAACTTCGGTATCTGGATCAGATACGACTCCCGCTCCGGAACACACAACATGTACAAAGAATTCCGCGAGATGTCCCGAACCGACGCCGTTGAATCTTTATACCAGGACATGGCTGCCCGTCACCGTGCCCGATTCAGCTCTATTCATGTATGCCGAATCCTCGCAACATGCCGATGTCATAGATAGGAGAATACTAACCGAAACGCATCAGATCATCAAAGTTGTTGAAATCGACAACAAAGAGCTTGTTCGCCGCCCTTACATCAAACAGCTTCTCACCAAGGACCTCAAATTCCCTCTTCCTCACCGTGTCTCCAAGCCACAAGGCAAGAGAGTCTTCGCTGCCTCCAGACCATCCACATTCGCATAAAGAGGATATCGGGGGGTTTTTCCTTTTCAGCGGTGGAAGGTTCAAAAGTGAAGATGGAGTCTGAGTTTCACTGCATTTATGTGACTGCAGGTTATAGCTAGGACCATGCATAATGAGTCTTTAATGCAGCTTCTGCCAGCAATTGTAACCAATAGGGGTTAGATGGCTACGATATTCATTCTCCAGCTTATGAACGCAATTTTTTCCAATTTATTATGTTCGGAAAGCTGCACATTGCTTGGGATTCTTGTGTTGTGTTCACTGTGTAGGTTCTGTCTCCTGCCAGGTAAATCCGAGGCCTTCTGGTGTCGGGTTTATCGCAAATGCAGCCAGGAGTATTAGTTATAACACAAAGTCCTTCGAGTTTTTGTGTGCCCCTACGAGTCCTCCACCTATCAAAATCCATCATCAACTCCTAGATCCGAATTGGAACTACAAAACTGAAATGTAGAATTATGTCGCCTATTCGAATTTGTTGTTTATCAGATACTTGACTGTTATCACTATGGACTGTCGGCATTTAGGCACTCTTAAAAGCCCAGGTCGTCCGCAGGAAGCTGTTGCTCCTTGCTTTTTCTTTGTTAATGGCCCAAAATTAATTTGCGAACCGCTTCACCCTGCGTCACCTCCGTATCCTCTTATCCAATTCCTCATTCCCTTCTGTCCATCTCCGACGTTTGCCCATAAACTCCTTGAACCATTCAACGGCGACCTTTCCATTCACGATCTCCGAAGAAAACTGCTTCTCGGCACTACCTATGGGCTTCAAGGTACAAGTCTAGATCAGGCGCCATGAACAGTACTTCACTCATGCGTCGTACACTCAAAACGCGACACACACGGTGACGAGCGGCATAGATGCTTCCACCAGTGAGAATCAAGGTGCACCATCCGCAGAGCACGAAAAGCCAAGTGCCCGGTGCAGATGGAGACTTGACCTCCAAACTGACCGTACCGTCCTGGAAGATGATTGAGCATGTTCCATTATCGGTGTAAACACCGCAACCATTCGAGCTGTCTGGTTCAGTAGTTGCCGGGGTGTAGTCGCAGAGACGGAAGTTGAGATTCATCTACTTGTGAAAGGGGCTCGATTCTCATATTGCTGCGCCACTTTCAACCATGAGGGGGATACAATGAAAGGAGAGTATCAGACCACGCAAATGTTTAAACGGCAAAAACCAAAATCCAAGGCGTCCTTGGGAGTTCAAGTCCTAGCCCCTTCATGATAGTCATGCATTCGTTAGCGTCAACGCTCGGAAGCAGAAGAGCAAAAATGGTTGCCGGCTTTGTCAGCGAAGCCGTGATAACGTCATCTGGTTGCTGGATAAGTTTCGTTTTTCCCGCGTCCAATTCCACGCTCGAACTTCATTTAATCATCCTTAACACGACAATTGAGCGCAGTCTTCACATCAACGCTCAAAGGCCATTATGTTCGCCAGATTCACGTTCAGAACCTGCAGGCCTGCAGGCCAAGTACGTAGTATCCAGAGTACTCCGTACAATTGCTTCCATTGAGACTAGCGCCTGACTGACACTTCGTGTTTACTATAGGCAATTCGCAAATATGCCTCCGAAGCCTCCCCAAAGCCGTCGTCAAACGTTCCACTCTATGGCGGTCTTGCCCTTGCTGCCGGAGGCGCATACTACTACTGGCAGCGACAGCAATCCCCGCAAGCTTTGGAGGCTGCGCTCAAGGAACGATCGAAAGTCTTCATTGGTGGGGACCAAGGCTGGGTGGATTTGAAGCTCGCCGGGATTGAGACGCTGAGCCACAACGTGAAGAGATTTCGTTTTGAATTTCCAGATTCAGAGTCTGTCTCGGGACTGCATATTGCATGTATGTTGAAACTCAATTGCTGGTTTTTCACGGTTTGCTAATAAGTACTTTCTGGACGGAAGCCGCTCTTTTAACAAAGTACAAGGGCCCAAAAGATGAGAAGCCAACCATCCGTCCCTATACTCCCGTTAGCGAAGAAGGTAGGAACCGGATTATGTATCATCGGGCTACCTATTATACTGACAATCCCCTCAGAGCAACCCGGATACCTGGATCTCGTCGTTAAGCAGTATCCCAACGGCCCCATGTCCACCCACTTGCACAACATGGCCGTCGGTCAACAGCTTTCTTTCAAAGGGCCCATTCCTAAGTACCCTTGGGAACAAAACAAGCACGATCATATTTGCATGATCGCCGGCGGTACCGGAATTACTCCCATGTACCAAATCATTCGCAAAATCTTCAACAACCCCAATGACAAAACCAAAGTTACACTCGTCTTTGGCAATATTACAGAGGAAGACATCCTCCTGAAAAAAGAGTTGGATATCTTGGAGAACACCTATCCCCGACGCTTCCGTGCGTTTTATCTTCTTGACAAGCCTCCAGCTGGCTGGACTCAGGGAACCGGCTACGTCACCAAGGAGTTGTTGAAGACTGTCTTGCCCGAACCCAAGACCGAGAATATCAAGATCTTCGTTTGCGGACCCCCTGGAATGTACAAAGCCGTCAGTGGACCAAAGAACAGTCCCAAAGACCAGGGGGAGCTCACTGGTCTCTTGAAGGAGCTTGGGTACGACAAGGATCAAGTCTACAAGTTCTAGATTTCCACCCTTGAGTACGGAGTACAGAGTATGTTATATAGATTCACTTGGCTCTTGAATACCTACGTGACCTGTTCATAGAATAGCGGTGCAAGGTGAATAAAGTATTATGTGTATAGTACGTGTCTAGCATAGAATGCTTCGGCAGGAATTTGCTAGTATTCTGGATGTATACCATTCGTAACATATAGAGAAATCTCAGCCGTACTGTGATTTATTATGGAGTACCATCTGACTGCGCAGTAGACCTTTGAACGACATGCCAATTTAGTCAATCCTCAGAGCCGCCGCGCGGGACCGGCGTGGGCAACACTAAAAGATTTGACATTCAATTTGAATTCAATCAGAACATGCTCCAAAGATATCCTTCATAACTAGCGAGATACTTCATCATATCGGCCCAATGATAGCCTACGGTGGAGCATAATGAAAAGGTAAGGGAATCATAGATAATTGACGAAGATTTCCAATTAACATTCCATGTCAGCGCAAAAGATCTGTCTCACCCAACTTTCTGAAAGCAAGTATTTTGCCTCCCTAGCTGTCTTGCGATGATAGTGTAGCAGGTTTGTGCCAAAACATTGTTAATGTACTGCATAACCTTTTTCATTGGCCCTGGAACATTCTTGATGGGCACAACAAGGCCCAATCAATGGGACATTCTGAGGATTCAGTTTTAAACCTTCCTGTGACTGTCTCTCTCGGAGCTGTAAAGGCCTTAGATATGTCCAAGGATGATGTTAAATCAGACCATTTTGTAGATATGGCTTGCATATAATCAAGCAACACAGCCATAGGACGTAGGCCGGTCCATCAGTATAATCACATTCAAAATAAGTGGCAGTGTGATATTTGCGCCTGAAAAGGGTATATCCATCTTGACCATTAAGAAGCAAGCAACAACAGTCACACCACCGGCAAAATTAGCGGTTTCTTCAAGGAGTTGTGGCCGATGTAAAAGTGTGTAGCCAGAGCAAAGTTTGTACCATTACATTGATTTTCAAAAGAAGGTGCTCAAAGTAGAGATGAACTGCGTAACAACACCAGGGAGACAAGCAGAAGTGTCTAAAGATAGGAGATTCTCCTGTTTATAGCGGATATCAAGTACGCTAGGAAGCCTAAGGATAACTCTAATAGAGCTTATTCTTAAGTAGTAGGAATTCCTTATTGATTTGGCACCGATATCATTGCGGGACAAAGGATATATTGCTCTGCATTGTATTTAACTCCCCCTAGGTGTGTGATATCGGGCAAAACACCAGCCAGTTTAAATTTTAAAATAAATGACATGCCTTAAAAAAAGGTAACGAATCAAAGATGACAGTTGGATGTCCTGCTAAGATGTTATGGAATCATCTTTGGCTGCTCCTTGCTGTCCATGAATAGTCAGGCGATTTGGAATAATTAACCCGGCTGTGAGGCTTAGAGTCCTCGCTTCACAGCTGATGCTTGATTGCTGCGTGTGAGGCGCTTCGGCCTTGCGACCCCTTCGGCATCGCAGTTAGAGATATCCCGATGGATGGGAAGTACGCGTGGATGGTCGAGATAAGTTATTGAAAATGGGGCTAGAAGCTGTTGTTCGAAGAGTGATTAATGCTACCAACGGTTGGTTAAAGGGCAAAATTTATGTACCTGAGTACAGTTTTCGATTGGAGGAGTCAGGAGCCGGTAAAATATTGTTTGATTGTGAGAAACGGCTGAACTCCAGGTAGTAAAGCGGGCTGTTCAAAACTCAGTCCAATGTTTGGTACGTGACCCAAATTGGTCTCATCTCTTTGGTAAGGATTGAATAGACTCTGTGGCAAATTGCCAATATATCACTATGCTTGATAGAGACTTGTCACTATGCATGGTAGTCTCACAATATGACAAGAGTCAACTTGCGTTCCATGCACCAAGGACATCCGCATGGCACTCATTCAGTTTCCTGATTGATGGCTGGGTTTCTCCCAATGGTATGGAGGAAGTGTTTGTACTTACTGCCTGCATAAGAAGCGGAGGTCTCATTGAGTCACTTCACGCGCTTTGCTATGCCTTTGCCATCCTGTGCACTTCGGCCATTGATTTAGGCAAGAACACTGCAAATCTGGTCCATCGGCCAAGAACTTTGCACAACGGATGTACTGTACATAGGCTGATTTCTTGTTTAGAGGATAGTATAAACAAGTAGGCGATGAAAAGGTGAATGTAGTATGGTGATTTATTTTTGTCAAGTTCCTTTGCTGCTCCTGAATGTGTTGTTGATGACATAGTCATGGCATCACCCTAGGGCATGAGATACTTTGCTTATCAGGGCTGCTCTTGGTCATAAGAAGATGTAAATCTCCACCAAGCAATGTTGGTAAGGAAAGCCAACTCATTTCCCAGATGCATAAAGGGTAGGGAGGGGAGAGTAAAAGAGGGCGGGATCCTCATTGTAACTTTGCATCGAGGCATTAGCAGTGCAACAGCTGCATGTGGGGGTGAATAAAAGTGAAGATATGCAGTCTCAAAGACAACCCACTTCACATTAAATGCAAAACTCAAGGAGTTGTCTCCACCTCAAGATAGTTCGCAGCAATAGCAGTCCCACTCCGAGTCCTCTCGGTGGCGGCCTGGAGAACACAGCCCCAAGCGGCTCCTGAAAAAGCAAATGCAAGGGTCAACCCGATCTCGTGGATTGTTTCCAGGTTCGAGATTGTTCAGGTGGTAAATCATGGCCCTCAGTGTAGCCCCCAGTGTCTGAGATGAACACAATTCTTTCAAGACTTTTTTTCATTGGTCTTGTTGTCATTTCTCATAATGAATATGAGCATCATTTTTTGACCCAACCAGCACACATTTCCCCAATAATCGAGCTTCGGGCACGGTTGCTTACGCTCTAAGTCGAGAGGGGGCGCCAGAGGAGAGGACAGGCAAAAATACCACATCAGTGTGTGGAGGTGCATCATTGACAACAGACTGAGGACTGTCTGATTTTAGCTACGGAGGTACCGGGCTAGAGCATAAGCACAAACACTTGTTTATGGCCCCAGCCAGGCCCATTTTGCAGCTCACAAGCGCTCAACGCCCCCGGAGTGGAGAAAAGGTACGTCGCACTGAGAGGATGTTGAGTTAGCAGTGGACACTTGTCGCCGCTAATCTCAATGTGGCTGGGCGACGTTGCTCGCATTTTTTTTTTTACCTGTACTTTAGCGTATCTTTTTTATTGGTACCGAAACCAAACAACAGTCCGATATGGTGTAGAGGTAACATCGCTGTCTCTCAAGTAGGTCACAGCAGCCCCGGGTTCGATTCCCGGTGTCGGAATTTACTTTTTATTCACGGTTTTTTTACTTGGTCCTTACTCCGTACTCCATACTTCGTATGCTTGGATTCCGCGGCAACAGTTAGATACAGCACCATATCTGCTTACATTCTAACTTCAAGTTCTTACTCCGTACACTATGGGGAGTGAACATAGGGGGTCTCTTCGGCTCTCGATGGGCCAAGCGGACAGTTTTTGGTGGTTGGAGACGGCATTTCAGCAGGCATTTCACACAAGCTTTTATGTCGCGTAGTGGTTGGACGACAGCGTGGAAGCCCACTAAACTTATGTTTGCGGGTGTTGCAGCCCCTGAGCCGCGTACCGCTGGGAGCCTGCATTCCTTAAGATGATCCCTTGTTATAGTGATGGCTCGCTCCAACTCCCCCCGCACTTAGTTAACGACCTACTCTGGAGTTTAAGTCCTCTGTATCCATTCCAGGCCGGATCGCACACCCTTCAACCCTCACTGTCCCCGGTTCAAAATCACGAATTTTATAGGAGGAGGTAATGGTTGGTATATAAATATCGCCACAATAAATATCAGAATTGAACTTGGAATTCTACGTAACTACTCCGTACATAATTACAAAAGCGAAGCTTTTCAATGTGCCAGTAGAACGGGCTGTGTGTGGACTGATCGGGGTGCTGGGGAGGTTTAGGCGGGTATAGGCTTTCTTACTCACTGTGATTGCTCGTTAGAGCGCCTTGGCGTCACTTGCCACCACTGCAACAGCGATAGTCCCAGGCCACACCTGCACTGAGGAGATGAGCTTATGCTCCCGGGCTGCCTTCTGTACGTACTCCGTACTATACGCTCATCCGGCCATTCGTTCACGCCAACCACACTGTACATCTCCTCTCTCGCGCACTGGTAGCCTCCCACAGAGGGAAGCATTGTGACCACGGTGGTAGCCAACGCAGCGAGAATTTAAGTCTTGCTCTACCAAGGAGCCTTGCGCCGGCGCGCTGAGGAATAACCCTCGCCGGGCATGTTCGAAATCAAGAGAGGGATACAACATCTACGAACAAAATAAATCTGATTAAATTATACACTATATAATTGAGAAACTGGTGCATCGCACGCGTGTTCTGGTTGTCTCTATTCCGTATGGAGGATTATGAACATGGAGGAGAATCGCCATCGTTGGATGGCACTTAGGGACGGCACCGCTAAAAATCGGTTCCCGCGCACTCAACATCTGAGCTTGTCCTGGGGGGCGAGGGCGGCGGTATACGCTTTTAGGACTAGCGCAGATCGCTGAGGGCTTGGACGCCCGTTGAACGGGGGGCGCCTACGCTTAAACTTGCCCTAAAACGGGGGGGCTTTCTGATTTGTTTTCTGGTTAAGGGTTCAGGGCTCCGATCCTGGCGCCCTCCCCTCCAGCTTTGGTGAGAGGATCAACTGGATCAACCTCTAGCGCAGCCTAACTATTTAGTGAGCGCCGTTCCCACCTCCAACCCCCCGAAAATTTTCCTTCCCTATTATTTTCGCCTTTCTTTCCCTTCCCGCCCACTCCCGGCCCAACCATCGCCGAACATCCCAAAATTAATATCGATAAATAATATAATTTCATCTCGTTTCTTACTTGATACTTACTTGATACTTATCATTTTGACCAAATCGGCCTTAGTTACCCCGTTGCCCCCCATGTCTGGAGCGGCGCCTAAGCCTGACCAGTCCAGCAAGGACAGCACTGCCATCGTGACAGTCAACATCGACGACTTCACGAGAACACGCGACAGTGTGAGTATCACAGGAACCTAAATCTCCCTGCTCTTTTTTTCTTCCTTTTGCGCAAAGCTGTTTCCATCAGATCGTATCGCATTTCCTCCTAGAAACACTGGAGTATATGTGTCGCGTCGCATGGCGCTTGGATGTTTTGATTTTGTCGCGTCTCTGGGCGCTTTTGCTCTTCGCTTGTTTTTTTCCCACCAACGCCCCCGATTGGCCTCCCCATCAGCTTCCCTCGGAACCCCACCATCCCAGTGGCAAACCTTCTCCCCGCAGAGCTGCTGCGTAATGCCCCAAGGCACTCGCGCCCCTCGCGCCTAACTATATTGCCTCCTATCTTATACCTAATAGCCCGCCCCTAAATATATCCCCGGTCGAACTCTAACACTCCGCACAGGTCATCATTGCTCTCGCGAGCCTCCAATCCGCCGTTTCTGATCTCTCGAAAGCTTACATCAACCACGCCAACACCGTCTTGAACCGCGGACCCTCCGCCCTTGATATCGGCGGAATCACCAGCAGCCTCCTTGAAAATGGCCTTCTTAATGTCGCGCGACCCCCGAGCCCAGGCCCCGAAGGCGAGCGCAAAAAGAAGCGCAAGCGGGCTCCTCCGGATCCCAACGCGCCCAAGCGCGCGCTAACTCCGTACTTCCTCTACATGCACCACAACCGCCAGAAGATCGCGGATGAACTAGGTCAGAACGCTCGGCCTAAGGAAGTCGCAGACGAAGGTACGAGGCGATGGGCTGCTATGAATGCTCAGGAAAGAGAGGTATGCTTCCACCGAAGAAAAGAAAACTTCTCTTTTTAGTGTACAAGGTAAACTGACCACTCTTCCTCTTTCCATAGGTCTGGCAAACACTCTATAAGCAAAACCTCAATGTCTATAAGGCGAAGATGAAGGCCTACAAAGCTGGTTTGGCTGTTCCAGTGGAAGATGAGGCCGTCAATGAAGCTGCAGCCGCACAGCAGCAACTGCACGAAGGAGTCCGCCAAGCTACGGAAGATCGCAGCTCTGAGGAATCCTCGTCATCAGAGGAAGAAGAGGCCACTCCAGAGCCTCCCCGCGAGCCTACTCCACCTCGCTCTTCCAAGCGACGCCGCACTCTTGATGCGAAACTACCAGCGCCTGTCGCTTCTCCACCGAAACCGTCGCCGCCCAAGAAGCCTTCACCTGAGAAAAAGAAAAGGGGAAAGGCTGCAGCAGAGGAGAAGCCAAAGCGTGCCCAACCTGCAGTTGCTGAGACACCAAAGAGTGAGAAGAAGACTCGTAAGAAGCGCAAGAGTGAAGCTGCTGCAGCGGAGTAAATTTGCCAAAACCTTTGAGGATTAATCGTATCGAATGTGTATGTTTAGCAGAATGGAGTCTGGCTCACTTTGTCTCTGCAATTTTCACAATTTGTTCAGGGTTTCGTCTACATTCGACGTTATTGTTTGCTCTGCAATGGATCTTTTCGCGTGCATCAAACTTGAGCTGCTGGAGAACAGTCCACTTGACAAGGCAAACGCTCATATGTTTCATGGTTGTCTTTTTTTTTTTTTTTTTTTTTTTTTTTTGGCTCCCACGGATTCATAATTGTACTTTTTTTGAGCCAGCTTTAGGCCTTCCTGTCTTATCGATATTTGAATGTAAAAGTGGATTTGTATTCCGAAAGGCCATCTTGACTATGTAATACGCTTCATCATTCACACCATCGAGTGTTGATCCGCCGGCAAGGCCCGCTTCGGGTACCGGGACCATGCGCGAGATCGTTAGCAAACACCAAGCCACGTAACTTCATGAATCAAGGATCCTAGGCTAAGTTTGCGAGCTACGGGTATAACCGCATGGATACTGTGGAGCTACGGCGATAAGGTAGTATGGATGGGTGACCCTTTGCAGCCAACGGAGGGCGACCATTATAACTAGTGGGTGCTATCTCCAAAGACACGTTCCCGGTGGGCTAGAATGAGCAGGTTGCCCGATAAACTTGTATCCCAAAGGCCGATGCGCATACATAGATATAGCCACTGCTGTTGTGAAACATCCTTACCCCGTCTCCCTATCCGAGATGGATGTATGTACACATATACAACTGGACACTCCTTGACCTAGCGTAATTGACGAAGCACAGAAGTCAAAACCTTGCTTTGGCCTGCTGCCCGGAATGGATGATGGGATTGATGGGCCTGGAAGTTAAACCCGACCAACCACCCCCGCCTGCCTGCAACTTAAATCTCGGACTACATAAAGCCCGCCCTTCGGCAGAACCATTTTGACATTAATCATTATTGCTCTTACTTCCGGTTCGCAGCGTACAGTTAAGAAGAGCAAGGTAAGTATTGAGGTTAAATTCACAGCGCATTGAAGCTGCCCGCTTTTCTCCGCGTGATAGGCTCACTCCATCCTTGACTAGCACGATACGCCGCCAAGGTGGCCTCAGTCGACTAGCAATGCAGCTCGTGCCGCGAGAGGTAGGCGATTCGCCAGCCCTACGTGCCTTGACTCCTCACTGCTTGAATCGTTCAGCCAGTTACAGATGGAATTGGGTGGATAGCTCTTGTAAAACAAACTCGACATGATTTTCTTTTTCTCTTCCTGATCGCCCTATTGTCTACGGAGTACTGTATGAGGATTGAAGGGGTATTGGTGAATCCGACGCTGATGGCTGCTGCAAGTAGATCGATAAACTGACCATCTCTAATCTGGGATTTCTGGCCCAGCGGAGATTGGCCCGGGGAGTGAGGTTGAATCATGCAGAAGCGACTGTAAGTTGAACAAAAAAGCTTGGTGTTCTTGTCATGGCTTGGTTTTTCAACGATTCTAACATGGGTGTTCTAGGCGTTGATCGCATCCAATCTCCAAGAGGTACGTGGGGGTTGCGAGTCAGTTAGTCAAGTTATGCATTTTACAGGCACCGCGTCAAGGCTTCTTTAGAATGGATGTTTCTCGGAGTAGAACTTCCAACTAACATCGCACTGGCAGCTTATTCGAGATGGCAACAATTCGGTGGCAGATCTCATGACGATCGGCAAGGAGATGCTTGGACGTCGACATGTCCTACCCTCTGTCGTGGCCACCTTGAAACAAGTTCAAGTTGAAGGAACTTTTCCCACTGGGACGAACCTGATCACCGTGGTCAATCCCGTTTGTTCGGATGATGGCGACCTGGAGAAAGCCCTCTACGGAAGCTTTTTGCCTGTGCCGCCGAAAGAAACGTTCCCGGATCCTGATCCGGATGACTATCAGCCAGAGAAGATGCCTGGCGCTGTGATACCCCTCAAAACGAGCAAGAAAATTGAGCTCAATGCCGGGAGAAATAGAATTATGCTTAAAGTGACAAGTCGAGGAGACCGGCCCATTCAGGTGAGTATGTAAAGCACTTCTAGTGGGCTTTCGTTCTTTTGAATGCTATGATGCCTTGCTTAGCTGCCTCCGTCGATAAGAATTAACGCTTACAGCCATTAGGTTGGTTCACACTATCATTTTATAGAGGTGAATCCACAATTGGACTTCGACCGTGCGAAGGCGTACGGATATCGCCTTGACATCCCAGCTGGGACGTCTATCCGCTTTGAACCCGGTGCTACCAAGGCAATCCCGCTCGTCGAAATTGGCGGCAAGAGAATCATTCGAGGGGGCAACCACATCGCCGTTGGGCAGGTGGATTTCCGAAGAGTTGATGAAATCATCATGCGTCTGCAAAAAGCTGGATTTGCGTATACTCCGGAGCCTAAACAGGATGCTCATTTGATCGAGCCATTTTCAATGACGCGGGAAGCATATGCTCGCATGTTTGGTCCTACCACTGGAGATGTAGTCAAGCTAGGAACCACAGATTTGTGGATTAAAGTCGAAAAGGACCTGACCTACTACGGTGACGAATGTTCATTCGGTGGTGGCAAGACCATAAGAGACGGGATGGGGCAAGCTACAGGAAGGCATTCCGTGGATGTCCTGGATACAGTCCTGGTGAACGCGCTAATTGTCGATTGGACGGGTATTTACAAGGCTGATATTGGACTAAAAGATGGAATGATCTGCGGAATCGGCAAAGCTGGAAACCCAGACGTGATGGATGGTGTCACCCCCAATATGATAGTTGGCTCTTCGACAGATGTTATCGCATGTGAAGGAAAAATTGTCACTGCAGGAGGAATTGACACACACGTCCATTTTATAT